GCTTATAGAAATTAAGTAGAAGCTCTCTACCACGTACTACCTATAAACTAATAGAAATACAAAGATTATTAATTAATATCTTAATTAGCGTCTACGTCTATTTATTAACTACTACTAGAATAATTAGTTAGACCTTCTACTCTATATAGATTAGGTATAAGCTACGTTGCTATATAAAACTATAGAACTAATAGCATATAAAATTAAATTTAAATACTAGCTAATATACTACTAGAATTAGAAAAAGTATATAATAAAAGCTTCTACTCTATGTAAGCGTCTCTTACGCTAGAAAGCTTAGAATTTTGCTAAGAAATAATACAACGCTGTAGAAAAAGCTACTAAAATTATATAAAGTAATATCGCGAAAGCGCAAGCTAGGCAGGCGCTCTAAGTAAATAAAAAGCGCTAAGAACCTAATTTTATAGTAGGCAACCTTGTCTATATTAAACCTTATAGCTTTTTAATAGATTAGCCTAGTGCAAAGCTAGATTAATAGATATATAGCTCTTACCTAATTATTACTATAAAGAGTTACTTCTTCTAACTCTAGCTACCTACGTATATATATATATATAACGTCTTTTACGCTAATTAGCTATAGAAAGCTTTAGAGCTGTTGCTAGAGTAGATAGAGCCTAAGTAGCTACCTATTAAGGTAGATAGCAACCTAGAATAGCTTGTATAGAAAATTCTAGATAGCCGTCTTTATTAAAATTACTTTTAATACCGCGCTGTATAGGTTACTTATAACTCTAACTCTACCTAGTATAATGCTATAGGCTTTATTAACGCTCTCTATAAGGTAAGAGACTTTTATATAGTATACCTAGATAAGCTAGAGCTACTATTACAATTAGATGCTTAGATTAAGGCGTATAAAAAAGAGAAGACTCTAGAGAAGATAGTAGAGAATTTAAAACCTATAAGAGTAAGAGACATAAGGGTAACACAAAGGCGCTACTAAGAAGAGAGCCTGCGATAAAGCTGCTCTACAGACGCGAAAATAAGCCTTCTAGCTTAAATCTCTACAAGAATAGAGCGACTAGAAGGAAGGTAGTAGCTATAAAAGCGCTTCTAGTTTAAAACTAACACGAATACGCTTACTACGAGCTAAAAGAGATAGTTAAGAGTATAACGCGGGAGTTTTAGAAGAAGAAGAACCTAGAAGACGTACTTTAGAGCTTAGAGACAAGCTCTCTCTATAAGAAGAGGTAATATAATAGTTAGGTTTAGAATTTACCTTAGGTTATATAACCTTAAGTTACGTAATTCTGTTACGTAACCTAGCCTAGCGCCTTAGCGCTTAGCACCTCTATATATAGAGCCTCTTAGAGTAGCCTTTTACTTCTTACCTTTAAATAGCTAAATTTAACCTAACCTACTCTACTAGCACCTCTTATTCTTAAAGCTTGTAAAGACTGTGCTGCCTACAGCTAACTTACCTAGCTAGGTGTTCTAGAACGCTTATAGTAGTAAAGACTGTAGACCTAGCTCTTACACTAGTAAAATTAGATAGAATATAGACTAATAAACTCTTAATAGTACTATAGACTAATAGAGTTACTATATAAAGACCTACTAGATTTATACCTAGTAAGCTTATAATAGAGTAATAACTAATACTATCTATAAAGCTTAGTATAATCTTCTAGTAATTATTACTATAGACTAATATATAATTAATATCTAACCTTTTTATACTAAGAGTAAAATAGCTAGAATTTAAGAAAAAAAAACTATAAGAAGCTATTAGATAAATAATAAGACACTAGTATATAGCTACTAAAGAATAGAAAGAAAGAAAATAAATCTAAATACTAAAGTTTAAAGTTAGTAACCTAGTTCTTATATAGAATACTATTAAAGCTATTAATAAATTAGTTTCTTAAAAGCTTAATAATAAATAAAAAGGTTTATATTAAGTAGCTAAAGCTATACTAGAAAAAGAATACTATTATCTCTAAGAGCTAGATAGAGCTCTATTCTTCTATATAATTATAGTAAATTAAATTAAGCCTTTCTACTAACGTAACTCTAATAGTAAATTAAGTAAAATTAAAGAAATAATAAAGGCTATTAGAGAAAATCTAAAAATAATAATAGTTTATTCTAAGCCTTTATTAGTACTATATAAAAAAGCTATAGAAGAGATAAACTAAGACTATTAGCTATAGAAAAAAAGACTTTAAGATCTATCTAGATAAAATATAGTACTAATATCTTAAAATATATCTAGTCTACTAGATAAGAACTCTAATAGAACTATATTAAACTAACTCTAAATAATTATTTAATAGAATCTAATAGTACTTATCTTTACTAAAAGAAAAAGTACTCTATATTAAATAAGAAGAAGAGAAGAATAAATTTAAGAAGTAATTAGAGTTAGAGAAAAAGACCTTTAAAGAAGAGTTTTAATTAACTAGAGATAGTTAATAAGGTAGAAAAAAGAGATAGAGGTCTTATATTTCTTATATTTTTTATTTTTATAGAATATATAGAAGAGAAGAAAAGTCTAGAGAAGAAGATATTTAAGATTAAATTAGAGTAATCTATAGATATATATAGATATTAGAAGAGAAAAGTAGAAAGAAAATACTACTCTAAACGTCTAAATTACTAGCCTATTTCTTCTTATCTAAATTAGTATTAGTCTTCTTAGCTATAGCTCTTTAATAAGTATACTCTTTCTAGTAAGAAGACGTATTAGTAGCTAGACTTTTCTAAGCTATATTTATACTTAGACTAGCTAAAGCTAGTCTTAATAGTATAGTAGAGTTACTAGATAGACTAGACTATATAATAGTTAAAGCTAGACGCGTACGTAGAGAAATAGTAAAGTTAGAGAGGTTTAAAAGTAGAGAAGATAAAGAAAAAAAGGCTAGGTTATTATTAGAGAAGGTTACTAGGTTATTATTAAGCTAAATATAAATAACTCTACTATCTCTAGTCTAGAGAGACGTATTAATATATTACCTCTTAGAAGATAAATAATCTAAGAGAGTAGCTAAAGAACCTAATTATAGATTAGAAGGCGTAGAATAAAGTTCTCTATAATAGTAGAGAGTAAGAATATTAATAGGTAGAGAAGCTAAGATATCTAGAGCTCTTATTCTTAATATAATATCTAGCTTAAGCTTCTCTATAAACTTCTAATAAATAGTAGTAAGTAGCTTATTATAATTCTTATTCTACTTATTAGCTTACTACTTAATCTTTTCTTAAGTAGCTTATTAACTCTCTTAATAGTACTACCTCTTAGAAGAAGAGAGCTAGAGATCTATATTAAGTTAGTATTAGGCTCTAAAACTAGAAGTAAGAAAAGAGAATATCTTAGCTAAAGAAGTATTAGTAGGCTCTAGAAACTATCTAGTAAGATATATAAGCATCTTAATACTATAGCTTATTATTAGCTATTAAGAACTAAAAGTATAGCTAGCCTAGTCTTCTATAGGTTCTATATATAGTATTAGAATTACTAGAATATAGTCTAGAATTATAGTTAAGCCTTTTCTAAGTATAAGAGCTAGGTTCGCAGTCTCTACTACTATAAGCGCCTCTAGAACACCTAGCTAGGTAAGTTAGCTGCAGGCAGTATAGTCTCTACAAGCTATAAGAATAAGAGGTGCTAGCAGAGTAGGTTAGGTTAAATTTAGCTATCTAAAGGTAAGAAGTTAAGAAAAGGCTCTAAGAGGCTCTATATATAGAAGTACTAAGCGCTAAGGCGCTAGGTTAGGTTACGTAATAAGATTACGTAACCTAAGGTTATATAACCTAAGGTAAATCTCTAAACTAGACTATTATATTACTCTCTCTTATAGAGAGAGCTCGTCTCTAAGCTCTAAAATACGCCTTCTAGGTCTCTCTTCTTCTAAAACTTTCGCGTTATACTCTTAACTATCTCTTTTAGCTTATAGTAAGTATATTTATATTAGTTTTAAACTAGAAGCGCTTTTATAGCTACTACCTTCTCTCTAGAAAGAAAGAGGCTTATTTTCGCGTTAGTAGAGTAACTTTCTTACTAGCTTTCTTCTTAAACAATGCTATAAGCTTAGCAGGGTTCTAAATTACTTAGTAGCGCCTTTGCGTTACCTCTACCTCTCCTACTCTTATAGGTTTTAAATTCTTTACTATCTTCTCTAGAGTCTTCTCTTTTTTATACGCTTTAATCTAAGTATCTAGTTATAATAGTAACTCTAGCTTATCTAGGTATACTATATAAAAGTCTCTTACCTTATAGAGAGCGTTAATAAAGCCTATAGCATTATACTAGGTAGAGTTAGAATTATAAGTAACCTATACAGCGTAGTATTAAAGGCGATTTTAATAAAGATAGCTATCTAGAATTTTATATACAAGCTATTCTAGATTACTATTAACTTTAATAGATAGCTACTTAGACTCTACCTACTCTAGTAATAGCTCTAAGACTTTTTATAACTAATTAGCGTAAAAGATATTATATATACGTATATACGTAGGTAGCTAGAGCTAGAAGAAGTAACCTTTTATAGTAATAATTAGGTAAGAGCTATATATCTATTAATCTAGCTTTATACTAGACTAATCTATTAAAAAGCTACAAGGTTTAATATAGACGAGATTACCTATAGCAAAATTAGGTTCTTAGCGTTTTTTATTTACTTAGAGCGCCTACCTAGCTTACGCTTTTATAATATTATCTTATATAATTTTAGTAGCTTTTTTTACAGCGTTGTATTACTTCTTAGTAAAATTCTAAGCTTTCTAGCGTAAGAGACGCTTACGTAGAGTAGAGACTTTTACTATATACTTCTTCTAATTCTAGTAGTATACTAGCTAATATCTAAACTTAATTTTATATACTATTAGTCTAGTAGTTTTATATAGCAACGTAGCTTATACCTAATATAAGGGCTAGGTTCGCAGTCTCTACTGCTATAAGCGTCCCGGAACACCTAGCTAGGTAGGTTAGCTACAGGCAGCACTGTCTCCACGAGCTGTAAGGATAGGGTGCTAGCAGGGTAGGTTGAGTTAAATTTAGCTATCTAAAGGTAAGAAGCAGAAGGATGCTCTAAGAGCTCTCTATATACACAGGGTGCCTATGCCAAGGCGCTAGGCAGGGTTATGTGACTTGGGCGGAGCCGAGTCGGGCCGAAGCACCGAGTCGGAGCCGAGTCGGACCGTCACATCACCCCCCCTCACAGGGAGGGCTCGTCCCTGAGCCCTAAGGCTCTCCTTTCTTAGCGACGCTTACGTGTTGCCCTCTTGTCCTCTTCTACCCGTATAGGTTTCGAATCCTCCCCTGTCTCCTGCAGGGTCTCCTCCCTCTCATATGCCTTGATCCAAGCATTCAACCGTAATGGGAGCCCTGGCTTATCTGGGTATGCTTTTTCGTTCGAGAGGTAGGGGTATTGGCTGCTGGCAGAGCAGAGAATTGTCGGTTTTCGAAACAGGGGGGGTATTGGCTGCTGGCAGGGCAGCGGGTTGTCAGCTCTACTGGCGGTGCAGAGAATTATTGGCTCTGCAGGCGGTGCAGAGAGTTGTCGGCTCTGCAGGCGGTGCAGAGAATTGTCGGCTTTCGAAACAAGGGGGGTATCGGCTGCTGGCGGGGCAGCGGGTTGTCGGCTCT